GTAAAGGAGTTGGGTAACAGAGGAGGGATTGAGGTAAATGCTGTAGTGGTTGTGGATCATGGAGACTGGAGCGTTTGCAGCAGTGACCTCATCCAAGTCCTAAAGCTGTGTGCCGTCTGCCAACGGAGAGCAGTTATTCCTTCGCCCCGTTGTGAGCACAGAGCGACTTTTCTTTGCTGAAACAGAAACTGTCTGTTTTCTCAACGAGGCCTAATTTGACTCTCAGATATTACCGTTTGATTCCTATAATCCATCAAAACCGTAAAACTGACACAGATTAGGGCTGTGTTGTGTTTATTTCTTACCGTAACTTGTCTGTAACTGTTCCATTTAACTTCGGTGGATAATAAAAACCAGAAACCGGTGATCACATTATAAAAGCCATGATTTCATTTGTACCATTACACTGTACATTTGTAATTTAATTTTAATTTTTAACTTTTGCCACACACACACACACACACACACACACACACACACACATACACACACACACACATACAAAACACATTTAATCCTGACAATTGAAGACAAAGGTGACTTCTTTTCTTGGAGAGAATTTACACATAATTTACTTTTATATTTTCTCAATATCTAAGGTTTTTTTCAGCAGCATCAAGTTCATCAAAATCCATTCATGTATGGATGGATAGGATGGTTGATCTTTTTATGTTTGAACTTATTTGATATCCTAAATGGCAGTGATGTGACACAGAAGACAGCGAGGACCACAAATGTTGAGCTACGGGGGGAATTCACAGCCTCTGCAGAGGGGACCTGCAGTGATTGACAGGTAAGTGCCTGAAGGGCATCCACTGGTTGCCTGCCGGAGGGATTTGGTGTGGCCTCCTGACACCTTCTTTCCCATGAGCAACCTTAATGAAAACACACTTCCTGTTTCGCTGGCCACTGAAGTGTTGTTACTCTTGACATCCCTGGCCTCACTCTGAAATACACTATGCACCATTGAGTTAGGGAAAAAGCACTCAGCTATTTCTTGACAAGGTGACCTGACATGCTGCTGTTCAGACTTCGCATTTACTCCGCCTATGAAGTGGAACTGGGCTTAGAATCAACGGCAATCGCTGACATTTACATGGTGCAGTGTGTGAATGAAGTTGGAGCTGGATTTCCATAAAAAGATACAGTAAAGATATTCACGTCGTGGGATGAGTCGTGTCATCTTGGGCAGTGCTAAAAATCTCGACTACATTTCTTTATCAGGAGCTCTTAATAAGCTCTGTCCCTGGTGAATTAAAGGAAACTAAGTGTCTGAATTGCTATGACTCAGTTCTCTGACTTTTCTGGACAAGGCAGTGAGAAGTAAAGATCTTTTTGTTTCCCGTCTTTCTTCTAAGAAAAGCCGATGGACTTAATCATGGCAGCAGGGCCTCTTCCCCGCAGAGCATCAATGACTTGTTGCCCACGATAACACGGCAGGACCCCGGCTGACTGAGGAGATGCCGGAATTAAAACCCTGCTTCCATGGAAACCGGCTCAGCAGCTCACGGCGCTGCCTCACCTCTGAACCCTTGTATTTCTCTCTAGGCTGTGACAAGTGCTGTGAAGTGGAGCTGCAGACGCAGGGCATGGGAGAAGAAGAAGACAAAGGAGCCATAAAGCAGGAATCTTTCACAAAGGAGACTCAAGTCCATTTTATGAGCTGGCCACATATTTTTGAGTATGAAAGGAGGCCACTGCAACCCCTTTGGTTGTTGATAAAAGGGCTGTGCAGAGCTGATGGAAACCCCTTTATCCTCATCTTTACATTTATTGCTCTATCTCTGGGTCACAGCACTGGCCAAGTAAGCCCACATGATACAGAAACTGAGTTGGTTTCCTGCTCAATCATTTCATCTCTCCCTCTACCTTAGAATAGTTTCTTCTCTTACATTTTCCATCTGCTCCCGATTACAAAGGTATGAAATATTCATAGCTACGAAAACGCGAAACAGTGATTTCTAGGAAGCCTGCCGATTGTTTCATACAGTCAGACCATACAAGACATTCAGACCACTGGGTCCTCGTGCTATTTTAGTAACCTCACACTCTTCATTACAGCCCTCAAGGCCAAAGTTCCACTGGTAACGGTCACGAGGGGAGCCAAAATAAATGCCTGCTGCTGGTTTTCTTTGTGTGTGTGTGTGTGTGTGTGTGTGTGTGTGTGTGTGTGTTTGAAATACAATGTTCTTCAGAAAATCCTCCTAACCTGTTGTGGTGCTAAAAGTCCCAAAAAAGCTCAGATGTATGCTGGGAACATTTTTATGTCCTCTCTTTTAAAAACTTGCTGCATCACCGCAAGAGTAAAACCTGATTGTTCAGCGTAATTTGTAGCTTTCAGGGCAACAGCGCCCCCGGAATGGCAACAAAGACTGAAAACCACTTGAATGCAATCACAGGATGTCATTACTGTGGTTTAACCATCATGAGAACCTATAATATGAATCATCTGAAGGGGTAAGGACAAAGGCAGAACACAAACAGCACAGTTCCACTTTGTAATCTTAGATCATAACCAATTGTATATGACTGACTCTGATCTCTGCCCACGTGGGCCTCAACATAGGATCCAAAAGTGTACCGTATGTGTGATTTAAGTAAATATAGACTCCACAGTTCCATAAAAGTTGGTACACTTCTGGAAAAATGCATTGAAACTTGTTTTCCTTTTATTGACTTACTCAGATTGACAACATATAGCTACAAAATGTCCTGTCAAATATGGGGCTGTCAAATTGGCCACATTGATTAAATTTTTTTTAAATTAATCATAAGTAAGTTATAACACGTTTCAAAATGAGGCATACTAGTAATCTACTGTCCATTCAGTTATTGTTTCTCTGAAACACAATCAATACTAAAGTTGTTATTTATACACACTTTGGGATTAACAAAAATAATAATAAGAAAGGTCAAAGTAGAGTTTTTTTTTTTAAAAAAAGACTGAAACTCTATACTTGGTTTTTATTGCATTCTTGGAAGCTGCACCAGCTGCTGTGGAAACACGGCCTGTGTGATGAAGTCAACAGGGGAGCTATTGTACAGTTAAATGTTGTTCCACTGCTTACTACTGTGACAATAAGCACTTATATACCAGGAGGTAGAAGCTCAGTTCATCAGCAGGTCAGTCACAATTACAGTCTTAAACCCTGTAGAGTAGATGAATAGGCTGTCGGTGGTCATCGGAGTTGTTGGCAGCCTGTTATCATGTGTGTGTGTGTGTTCATGCAGGTGTGTTGACGTCCTTGCTGTTACTCACGACATGCGAGCGTGTTCATGAAAGTGCAGCTGTGTGACTATCTGTCTCTGTCCTGCTTCTCACCCCATGAATGAAAAACTGTCAGCATCCAACAATTACAGTTCTTTCTTTTTTTTTTTTTTAAACGGCCAAGCCGTGGCTCCTGTCTCACGGGGCAAAATCCTGTAAGAGAATCAGAGAGAGAGGGAGCTGACAGCCCTCTGGAGGCCTGACAACAACCCACTCCATCCAAGTCTCTTCAAACCTCAACATCGCTTCTCCTTCTGCTTTGGGCCTCTCTTGTCTTTTCTTCTTTTCTTTTTTTTTTTGGCTGTAAAGTGGGGTGAAATATGACAGATGATTTCCTTCACAATGGCCGCTACATATTTCTTCTCTTTCATATGTAACCACAGAGCTCTTCTGCCTTTTTTTCCATGGCTTTTTCTTTGGCCGACTAGTGTGAGAAAAGTCCAGACACGCTCAGATGAAAAAGCAACATTCACTGTCGGCTTCATTCCCTCTTAAAGCAGCTGTGTTACTGTTAGACGGTTACTAAAAAAAGGAGGGAAAAATTAAGTGTGGAAAAGAAGTGTTGTTTTTTTTCATCACCATGAGGTAAGTGTTAGCTATTAAAGAGGCTACAAATCTTTGTGCTCACATAAAACTATCCTGGAAGACTAGGGTCCTTTACAGTACAAATAACTACAAGAACACATTGTTCAAACTGCTTTTAGACCTAAAGTGGCTAAAAAAGCAACAGAAAACAGTGATGGCAGTGATTTGTAACTTTACAGAAGTGATTAGAAACCACAGAACTTTATTAAATCCCTCTGCACAAACTGAACAAACCCACTTTCCAGCCCTTTGAAAGGCTTCTTCCGGGTTACCACAACAACTCCATATCTCACAGAGCATGCATGTGCCAAGATTGGACTCCAGCTGAGTCTTTAATCACTGCACTGAAGCAATCCAGGATTGACAGAGAGACCTCAGACAGGCCTGGAATCATTAATACTGTACGGCTGTTACTGCAACACCATCATGGTACGAACCCTGGGCTGTACAAGGGGGAGAACTGTGCAGAGCCGGGCGCAAAAAAAACTTTTTTTGCCCATTTAGCCTGTCAGCACTTTCAAGCAGGGATAAATGCTGTGAAGTTCCACTCACTTAACTCAGCTTTTCCAGGTCAATCACAAGCCTTTACAGAGTGCAGCCCCTACACCAGCAGCAGAAAAAACACACCAAAGCCCCCTGCCCCCCCTCTCCCATCAGACCACCCTTTCATCCTCTATTTAGGTCTCAGCAATCTCAACTGAGCCTTTTTAAATGTAGCGCTCAACAGAGTTCTACTGTAGGGGAGGAAGGAACTGGAGCTGCTGGACCGAGTGAGGGGGGACACTGGGACACAACTGGTTTGACTACTTAACCTCTTTGCAGAAAAATTACAGAACCAAATTAGCTGGAAAAACACTAACAGCTGGAATAGTTCAAACAGTGATGAATAAAGTCGTCTTTACTGCACATGTGCGCTCGCAGCCTTACAATGTTTTTTCATTATTACTTAAAACTCAATGGGTGAACTGTGTTCTTTGTATTTTTGCAGCAATAAATACTTACACATGCAAAAAAAAAAACCCCAAAAAAAACATCTCAACGCAAAACAAACCAGAAAAGTAATAATTAATTAAATAATTTTCTTATATATATTTAAAAAATTTGACCTTTGACCAAGGTAATTTATATGGATTCTTTGAAAATGTACCTCAGCAGCTGGGATGCCTTCAGGTGGACGACACTGGAGCAACACTTCCTGTTCAAGAACCACTTCCTTTCCCAGAGGTTCTTGGTCGAATGTCTTCCTCAAATCTGCCAAAAATGCAAAAGAAAGTTTAGTTTAAAAAATTACATCTCACATACCTGTATATTTATTAGCATTTTAAACCAACATACAGCAGAGATAGAAAAGGTATACAACTCTCCGTACACTACAGCCATGCTGAAGAGTTGTTATTTGAAAAGTTGATTCAGGGAGTTGGATTTATGCATTCCTTCCCACTCACCTTCAGCACTCACTTAAAGATAGATTGTCTGCAACTAGATGGAAAAGGAAGACGGGGAGAACAAGATCGCTCGGCCTCCAATGAAAAACCAATATTTTTGTGGTGAGAGAGCAGTGATGGAGAAGTGCAGGGCAAGGATAGAGGAGCTGACAGAGCAGGATTACTGGAGGTGTCATGCTACACTGGAACCCAAAGCCCATTAGACATATTTCATCACCTGCTGCACAGACGGAGCCAGGAGCAGCAGGCGTCGTACGCAACAGGAGAGCAGAGCTATTGTGGAATTATAAAGCACTTCTTGGGAAATTTTGAGTCGCCACAGGATCAAATCTACACACTAACCACGAGTTTCCATTTTATATTTCCTCCAGCTTTGCAATATTCATAGATTTCATAATATCACAAAAAAATGTTATCTAATTAAAGCAGCAACAACTTTGAACACATTACGCTCTAATGGAAGTGATTTAAATTTTAATATTTAAAATTAACAGTGTAATATGTTTGGTCAAATCAAACAATTAATGCAGTCAGTCCTTGCCAGAGTCAGTGTGTACTGAATCGATGCTAGCTTTACAAGAGCAACAACAAACTCCAACAATAAGAGAGGTGTTAACGCCTGTCTCCTACTTGATGCTTAATTCTTATCTGACACCCTCGACTGGACCCTACAATTTGTTTAAACCCCCTTCACGTCCAGTCAGACGTCAATAAACCTGTCTGGGGAGGAAAGTAAGTAGTCTGGAAGAAGCTCCATTAACAGTCCAAACTGCATCACTGCTACTTTCCACCACCTTCCCATCTGCTTTCTTCTACTGCTCCACCTTCAAAAACACAAAAATACGAATGATACGGCTAATAAAATGCCCGGTTAAAAAGATGTTAGAGATGTTACTCATGTTTGGGTGTTAAAAGATTATATATACCGTAAACAGAATAGCGCCACCATCTTCAGTTAGCGTTATCCTCTTTAGTTAGCTTGGCGGGTGGCGTAAAATATTATAGCCCATGATAAAGGTTTAACATCCAGTGTTGTCTGGGAGTAACCGTTGTGTCGGGCGGATGCGCCTGCTGGTGTAAAACGAGTTTTACACTGAAACATTAAATATGCCCGTTCCTGACGCTAACAACTTAGCTTACCGATTTTAGCTGATATGCCATGTTAGTAGTCGAACTTTGATATTTTTTCTTTTGATAACTTTTCATTCGACGTTTATTTTACTTTATCTATCTTTGCTGCCACACCGTCGATGTCTTTGACGTGGTGGAGGAGACTGACAATATATGAAACGCTCAAAATTAAATAAATATTCAGCAAATCACCGGACCTGGGCTTTACATCATTCGATCTGTCTGTCCGTGGGTTGGGCTAATCCAAAATGGTGAAAACGAGGGAGGGGTCCGATAGGTACCTGTGAAGCAAGGTGCTCTGAAAACACCCCCATTAGCACTTGGTACATTCCTCCTGGTGGAATTAACGCTACATATGTTTACTGTATATAAATCAGAATTTCGGTTGAGCGACAAATAAATCGACCAGTCTGGGAGATTACAGCCCTAAAGCGCCACCATCGTCAGTTAGCTCCACCACACTCGGAAGCTAACAGAGCTCATCATTCTGGAGAATAACCACGGGTATCCAGGGAGGAAAACCCACCTCGGTTTATTCTTTTAAATCAACATAGTAAGAACGTCCGTTAAAACAGACGTCCTCTGGACAATGCAATACCCCCATGCCCCCACCCCCCCTACCAAATTCACATCAGAAATCGTCAAAGATTTAAATATAACCCACAATCACAGCAGTTCACAAGACTCCATCTTAGATGGACTGATTAGGTGGAATTTAATTAACTGTAGAAAATCTAAGACCATTAATTGCATTAAAAAAAATCAGTTTTTATTCATTGATAACTACCAGGAATTGTACTGTTCTCATGACCTTTAATGAAAAGTGCTTTAGGAACCAATTACAGTCGTCACAGCTTAAATGTACTGTATGTACCTGCTGTATAGATGTTTCTGAGAAAACATCTGTACCTACAGAACAGTACATGTGTCCATGGAAACAAGGTCCAGCTAAGTGTTTCAGTCTGAGTGAAGACGAGAAGTGTTCTGCACAGATTGCTGTCGACACAGTCAAGGATTTACCAAAAAAAGAAAGAAAAGGAAATCAGCCCAACAGTAGCACAAAGACTCGAGCAGACTGCGTATACAGTACAACTAAGTCAAATACTCATGGGTACAGTGGTAGTAGAAGTGTAACAGTACACCATGTGAATTGGATCTACCAAAGTAAATAAATGATCCGGTGTCTCTGGAGAGTTCTAAGAAAGAGTATGAATTAATATACAACAGTTTGGTCTTTTTTTTTCTCACAGGTGTTGTCGCCTGTAACAGAGAGAAACAGGATGGGATTGACAGATTTAATCATTTAATAATATTAATTACGATGACATAGACACATCATTGTTCCTGTAAGGGTTCCAAATCTCCTCCAGAAGAAACTAGATCATGATCTTTTTATAGAAAACACGATCTGCCCACATCCTGACGACTACAGAATATCAATTGTTCTAGAAAATGAACCTTAAAGTAACAGATTAAATGAAAGTTTGTCCTAATGAGACCTGAGAGAGTTTGTAACGTCAGTAAGAATGAACTACAGACGGCACACACTTCACAGGCTACAGGATACACAGGCTAGGCTCAATGGCTAACAGGCTAAAGGGTTGTGACGTGAGAGGAGCTCCATAAAGGAAAGGAAAGGAAAGGAAAGGACAAAGGAAAAAAAGAGAATGAATGGAAGGAGAGGAAAGGAAAGTAAGTACAGGAAAAGGATGGGAATGAAACGGGATGGAATAGAAGCAGAAGAAAGTAATGGAAATGAATGAAAAGAAACTAAGGGAGAGGAAAAGAAAGAATCAGAAAGGACAGGGAAGAAAAAACATTAAAGAATAAAAAGAAAGATAGAGAAAAAGGGAAGGAAAAGGGGTAATAAATAAAAAGTATAGGAAATACAGTGAAAAGGCAAGAATAGGGGAAAAGAAAGAAAAGGAAGAAGGAAATAAAAGGAAAGGGGAAATAAAGATAAAATGAAACAAGGAAAAACAGAAAGAAAAAAGGAAGGAATGAAACAAAAACAGCAGAAAACAATGAAAACAAATTAGGAGTCGAATAAAAACATGCCAGTGAAACAAGAAAAAGGAACAAAAAAATGAAACAGAAATGGAAAGAAAATATTTATATCTTTGAAACACATCTTCGTTTGAGACCGCGATGAAACGTAACTCATTTTTAATCAGAACGATTTGTCTCTGATGTGGAGAGGACAAAACTAATTCCTTTTGTGCTGAAGTAGAACTTGTTTACTCTCCTCAACACGGTGCTCCACAGTTCGGCCTAATTGTCCAAATGACACCATTAGTATTAATGACACAGGCCAGTGTTTGGTGGTTAATGTGAAATATTGATGGAGCTGCTCCTGGAGCAGATCAAGTGGAGCTTGTTAGGCTGGAGTTCAACACACGCCGCTTGTATTGTTAGTGTTTCCTCCACTCTGTACATAAAATGCACTCAGTTACACACAAGTGATTATTTTGCTCCGTATATTTTTAGTACATGTGGTTTTAAATTATCCTTCTCTCCCCCTGCCTTCCCCCTGCCTTCCTCCTGCCTCCCTGACTCTGTCTTCTTACACCCCCGTGCCTTCCTCCTGCCTTCCCCCTGCCTCCCTGACTCTGTCTTCTTACATGTCGAAACCTAAACTGTACTGTGAGACCGGCTAAAGGGTTTGGAAGTGGCTGAGGTGACATTCCTGTGGGAATCACACCGTATACACACAGGCTGAAGTCACACACGTGACAACCATTACCTGGGTGTGTTTGGCTAACATACTAATAAAAAAAATTAAATAACTTGAGTTTTCATCCTGGCAGAGTCACTTGTAACAAAGTTAATATTTCACTTCATTACTGTTCGGGTTTGTGTTGTGGTGAAACTGCAAGACAAATAATTAAATTACATTTTTTAGTCAACATTAGCCTGCAGCAATGTTCACAAAGTTTTTTCATTTGATTCATTTACTTGCAGCGGGAGATTAGCACAACAGTTTTGTGAGACGAAAAAAAAAGGTCTTCATAATAAAGGTAAACATTCTCTTTTCTTCCACACAGAGGATGGAGCAGATGAGTTTCTGCTCAAGCACAGGAAGAGCCAACTCCTTAACGCAGCGGCGTTGGCTCCGGCTCCCAGCCTGATTAAACTGAAAGTATACGTTCGGATTAAGGGTGAGGAGTGGAAAACAAGCCTGGTTTCCATTAGCTTTAACGGAACTGTAGCTTTGACAAGACGCCTGTTTGGAGAAACAGAGAGAAACCAGTAGAGGAGCTAATCTGTTCAGCAGAGGCTAATGGAGGGAAGAGGAGTCCATTGTGATTTGGGGAATTGGTTAGTGCTGGTAGGCTGCTCATCACGGAAGATTACAGGAGGTGGAGGAGCAGCAGCAGCAGTAGTATGAGCAGCAGGATCAGCAGCAGCAGTGGTGGTGGTGGGCTTGGTGGGGCACCAACAGGAATACAGTACTGCATTCACATAAATAAAGTCGTGTCTACTAAGCAACTTGTACTCTAATGCAGCGCATACTTAAAGAGTAGGCAGTAGAAACTGATATATTTCCTAATCCAAAGTAAACATATTAATATCTATCTCGCATATATACTGTATATATGTATATATACACACACATATGTATATCATACATATATGTATATATTTCATATATACAGTATTTATATATGTATATATGTGTATATACATATATACATATCTATGTATATATGTAAAGGTCCCTTTGTCTGTAAACAAAGGTGAATAAATTTAGTATTACCACAATGCATTTCATATAAACAGTACATACATATACATATATGCATATATATAAAAGGAAGAAAATTGTATGGTGCTCTGCTGTTCTGTACATTGAAGGTTAATTTATGTTGACAGCTGCCGAACACAAGGCTAAAATAACAAGCTTGTGTTTTTTCTTTTTGAAGATTTCATACACACTCTGAGTGGGTGTTGAGTTTTTCCGTTCTTTGCTTCAAGTCATAACATAACAGCCGAACAGAATGGGACACGTCAGTCAAACTGTTTCATGACTTCAACGGGAGCTGGAAGTGCGATGATCTATACCATACTATAAAAGAACTGGCCTCAGGTGGGAGGTGGAAAACCATGTTACACAATGTGTGTGTGTGTGTGTTGAAGCAGCATCGCCTTGATGTGAGCCTCCGCTACTACGTTTTTAAAACCCCCCTGGGGAGACGGGGGAGGGGAGGGGTGAAAACTAGACATTTTGATTGGCATTTCCTGTGGGACAGAGTTGGAAACGAGTCCAAAAACTGGAGACAACAGAACGGTTCTCATTACTTTTACAGTAGGAGAACAAACGTACAGGCAGAGAACAAATGAGAACCACCTACAGGTAGGTAAGGGATGAAACACCCGCCGTATTCTCGGCTGAATAGACACAGTCACAGCTGTTTTTTTCTCGTGGGTTTCACCTCACACAACAAAGCTCACTCAGCTTTTAAAAGCAACTCAGGATCAAACTGACATTTCTGTCCTGAATGAACACTGTTCTTCCACATTAAATTTCTGCAGTTTTACACATTCTTTTTCATTTCATCATACTGCTATAGAACATGGTAAAAATATACTGCGTCACACATAAATTAAACTGTGTCGTCGTGCAAAGGCTATTTTCTGTTTCTATGGTAATCTTTCAGCACTGCAGCAGCCAGAACTCTATGCTGTTGATTTTTTTTTTTTTTGTCTAACTTAACTGTGTGGACTAGTCCATAAAGCAACAAGACCAGCTGCCTGAACTGAAATCCTGTGGACCACAGGATCTGGGCCTGGTCTCAGAAACAACATCAACCAAACCCGTCTTCTGGCCGTGTAGAACCAGACCAGCTCTGGTTAGAGTCTGTGGTTCCCACCTTCCCCAGATGTGGACGATTTAGGGTTTGTAATCCATTACTGTAAGTGATCCAAGTTAAATACCTGGCATGCCTCGGGACTGGGCCAGACCAACTCACAGACCAAAGTGGGTCACTGTGTGGCGAACATTTCACTGTCAGAACAGATGTTTAATATAAAGAATTTAAATAAGAATAAAGATAATGAGATGATATATCAATCATGTGGATTAACACATGTTGAAGACAGAAGTCAATTTGTTTGTAAAATTTGAGCTTTGAACTGTATTTAAATCATGGATTTTTATGGGTTGGTGATTTACCATGTTTTACGGTAATTTGTTTAGTGCCCCTAGGAACAGAAACATTTTTTTTATTGTTTTGTTCTTTTTTCTTTTTCTTTTTTTCTGCTTCTAAGATGTAGCCTACTCCATTGTTTCCCAAAGACTGGGTCGTGACCCTCAGGTGGGTCGCAAGAGAAAGAGGACTAGGATTCTGTGGGCCACAGACTCTGGACCTAATCTGACAAACACATCAGGCTCTTCGGTCACTGCGGTTCTTGGTCATTAGGATCCCGGCCAGCTGTGGGTAGAGTTTGTGGCTGCTACCTACACCAGATGTGGGCTATAGTTAAAGTTTGTAATTCACTGCTGTGAGTGATCTGAGATAAATACCTGCTGTGCCTCGTCACTGGGCCAGAACCATTCCTGTTAAATGGGTCATTGTGTGGGAGAATGTTGCAGTGGTAGAACAGAAGTTTTAAATTAAGGTAAAAAATACGATAAAAATACTGAGGCGAGTCAGAGTCAGAGTCAGGGAGGGCAGAGAAGGGAAGGGGAAGGTTACTCACAGGCGATGCGAACGAAGGCCTTGCGGCTCTTGGTGGTTCCTGCAGAGCTCCAGGCCACACACTGACACCAGAAGTCCTCAGGCCCAAACAACTCTTCCACCTGCTGCCGAGTGATCTCTATGCTGGCCTCCCTGACTACCAGACCTGTAAAAAAAGATACAAAGAAGAGAAGGAATGGATGGGGGGAGGCAGGTAAAGGGAGGTAGGAAAAGAAAAAGAAGAGAAAATGATTAGAACACCATTCACTGACGGTGCTGTGTTCATTTTAGTCACCATGTTAGTCAGGCTCCAGTGCTGCAGCCGTGATGGAGCCAGTGTGGGTCTGGACCCTGTGGGGGAGGATTCTCTGCATCATGGCTAACTCAATCCTGTTTGCTAACTCCTCTGATTACGGCTCATCTGGGTTCCACGACTCAAACAAACAAATCATCCCCAAACAAATGCCTTCACCCACAGCCTCGCCTCCGGAGCGGATTATGCTGAGGCTACAGTGTGTGTCCTTCTGTGCACGTCTGGATGTGAGAGCGTGTGAGTGCACATGAACTCAGAGTGAATGACTATGGATTCTGTGGTGTATTCACTGGAGCTGGGAAGGCTTCCCATGCAGTTTGATCCTTCTTCTTGAGTTCATTGTGGGTTTTTTTTTTTAAACAAAACATTTTTTCAAAATAATGGTGGAATCATGGAGTCCCTTTGAAAGTAAACATTCAGACAGATACAATAAGAGACCGGGCTTTGACTTGAGCTGGGTGGTAAAGTTAAACAAAAACACAGTGGGAACTTAACTATTTTTTTTAAATGAGACAAAACAAACTCTCCTCTGTGACTCATTTCACTTCACAGGT